GTGGTGGCCTGTTGAGGTGAGTGCGGGCGAGCGGGTCAAACCGTGCCCTGTGGACCTCTGTGAAGTTCATGGGTACGCCTGTGTGACAGCACAGAAAATCCCTGGGGGTGCTGGCGGTGCTCGCCGTGCAAGACGTGCTGGGATGCCGTGAGGGAGGGTGTAAATCTGGGATGCACGTGCCCGCGTGGAGCCTCCCGCGGCACCTGGCTGCGATGACCCTGCCGTAACTCAAAGCGCCGCTGGCTGGGTGTGTGCTTTGCAGCAGTGCTGCTATTTGTTTTGAGGGCAAATGTGTTACAGGTTGTATTTAGCAACCAAAGCTTCAGCTGGAGGCTCGTGATTATTGAGACTTGCTTGGTGTCTTTTCCTTCCATCATTTTCCTTCTAATGGTAAAGACCTCCTTGCAGCTCCAGCCTTAACTGCGCGTTGGCCTCTGTCTTTTCCGTTTAATGCTGTGGTTGGACTAAAACACTGGCTTGAGCTGTAGGGTTTTTAGACGTGTGCTCATGGTGTTTCTCCTGGTGCTTAGGCTTGTTTGGTTTTGTAGCTGCTGGAAAGATAGCTGTCCTGGCAAGCCTGATCAGTCTCCAGATTCATTTTGGGGATCAGCACGTCGAGGACTTCTTGCGATGGCTGCAGAAGGGAGTTTCTGGAGGACTCTCCTGGAGCTGCCTCTTGCTTTTCTGCAAAGCTGCTGGAGCTGCTTTCCCGAGGCAGGTAAATAGCTGCCTTGAGGCTGTGAAGAACAGTTCTCACCTGGGAACTAGGCTGATATGAGGCACCTCAGTGAGACACTGGAGATGCGCTGGGCTCGAACATCCCTCCCTCGCAGTGGGCGGCAGTTGTACTAACGACAAAAAGTCCTTGCTCCAGCCCTAACCCTGTCGTGGTCCTTCTCCACGCAAACCTGAGCCCCTCCTAACCAAGCTGGTACAACAAGATGTCTGTCAGTTGACTTTGCTGTGGCTGCGCGTGGTTCCGAACGGATACGGGAGGTCCCTTACTGTAATGGGGACTCCTGGGGTGAAGGGTGGGAGAGACACCTAGCCTACATCTGTGGTGCCGGAGAGGGGAGTGGAGAGGAAAGGAGGACAAGTACGATGGAGCTTGTTGGGAGGGATTAGCGAGTGTTTCAGTGGCTCCAGCTAGGACAGTCAACTGCGGGTGACTTGCCTGGTGCAAGCAGACTGTGGAGCTTCCCTGCTTGTAACTAAGGTCTTGAAAGCACACAAGCAGGGGTGGTGGAGCAGATGAGCTCCTGTGAGCTGTTTTACTCTGGTTTCTTTAGACTTTGGGGTTAGGGACACTTGCCTTGGGTTTGGTGGTGGGAGGTTCTTTTCTTTTCGTCTCGACACGGGTCCAGGAGCAACAGTTCCTCTTGCTTCAGCTGACAGCGTTGGGGTGCTGGGAAGTCACAGCTAACCTGTGCGACTGGCCCTACGCTCCCCGTCCACGGGCCTTTGCACACACGGGTGGGTACCACACCAAGTCTGTTGCTTGTCCGGGGAGCTGCTTTAGCTGAAAAACAGCCTGGCAAAAGAGAAAAGGGAGTTAAGAGCTCGGGCAAGGCATGGATTGTGCAATAGCGAAGCCGTCTCCGGCCAGCAGGATCTGACTGGGTTGCTGCAGAAGAGCTGCTTATTTCGTGGAAAGAGCATGTTGTGTTCTCGGTGTCTTTTGTTAGCTGCAGGGAGACCGGGCTGGTTGTCACGTGAACGTGCAGGCTGAACTTTGAGAAAGCTGTGTTCAGGAAAAAAAAAAGGCAAATTATATCTGAGCTTGTTTGTACAGTGGCACGTCAAATCGGTGACCCTTGGTGAGGAATAAGCACAACTAGAGACGTGACTCTTGTCAGTAAAACAATCCTGGATAGAAAACTACCCTGGACTATTCCTGTGCTCCCGGCAGCGGAAGGCGGGGTGCTCTCCCCCAGACAGCATCCATAAAGACGGCGCTTGGTCCATAAACAGCAGGTAACCTGATGAACCTGAAGCTGTGACTTTTGGTGTTGCTTCGTATGCCCAAGCTGAAACCAGGACTACCGGGAGGCTTGCGGTTGTCGGTGCGCTTTTGCCTTATGCAATGAGGATTAATCTAAGTAGGTGGAGAAGTATTTGTTGGCTGGTTTAACCGGGGCGTGAGGCTCCTGGAGGAGCTTGTTGGCTTCAGATAGGTGCCAGGAGCTGGGGGGGGGGTGAGGACTGCATAGCTCATAGCAAATCATCGTTGTTCACACAGTGATAAACTTATCCTGAGCAAAACAGAGCTGAGCCTGTTTTCAGTTCTGTGCCTCTTGCATTGCAGCAGCCGCGCAGGAGATCCTGGGGTTGGTTACTCCTTGGGCTGTTTGTCCTGTTCGTGTCCGCAGCTTTAATGAAAGGTGCGAGCCTGAGGACCTGGCTGTGGTGGTGATGCAAACCGCGGCCTGCGTGGGTTAGGTGGGTACAACATATACTTACCATCCGCTCTGGGGTATGGTGTGAGCTTTTGAACCCCTCTGGAACGGATCAGGTGATCAACAGAGAAATAAAAATGGGTATTTATCCGTTCTCATGTGAAAGCAGCTGATTCTCAGTACGGGTGGAGATACTCTGGGTTAGTCCCCAACCACACAGCACCGCCCGCTTTGGTCCCGCACACGCCAGGCTGACAGCTTGTTGCTTTACAGGAGCGCTTCTCCCTGGTTACCCTCTGAGGAGCTGGTGCTGCTGCGTGCTTAAATTGTACCGGCTGCTTCGAAGGCATCCCAGCTATAGACTGGGGTGAGATCGAGATCTGGGGTCAGTTCTGGAGTCTGAAGCAATTCCTTCAAGTTAAAACTAGCAGAGGAAAAAAAAAAGCCAACACAAAACCAGCTGGATGTGACTGGCTTGGCGGCGGTGGGTTGTGCTGAGTCACGCTGATGGCAGAGCGGCTGCCGGGAGTTTCTCTGGGGCATCACAAAATCCAGCCCCTCCTGACGAGCATCCGTGGGACAGGAAGGTGCAGAGACCCGCGGAGGGGTTGCAAGACCCTTAGACCTGGTCAGCGAGGGCTGAGAGCCAGATTTAAAACCTGGTTTAAAATTCCAAGATAATGGAGGGCTGTTGCTGCCTTTACAGGAGGATTTTCCTGAGCCTTTGGGTTTAGTTCCAGCGCTGTTCATAGGTTACGATGCATTTAGTGCTCTGAAACAGGAAGCTTTGCTCGAGGCTGCCAAATTCCCTGTTGTAGGGTGATGCCACGACCACTGGCTGATGCTTACGTCTGAAATTCAGCTAGCTGCTGAACTAAGTCACTTTGCGAATGTAATTCCTGTGCAATTTTTTTAGAGTATTTACTACAAATGCCATAATTCGTTTGGCTTAGCCTCACGTATTGCTTTGCTGCTTTCGTAGCTTGGTTTTACTGTGCTGGGTTAAAGTCTTGAATTCAGCTCTGATCTCTTCCTTGATCTCAGAGTGCCTGTGAAAGTGCTCTTCAGTTTTCCAGTGACTAGAGTGGTTTGGGGAATCAAAGGTCCAAACCTGAAACATTTTTATTGGCTTAATCTCTCCTGAAAGCTTGGCTGTAATATTGCCTCCTGGCCGCCGAGGTGAATCCATAGGCTTGGAGGGCCGTGCCCCGATGAGGAAGCACAGAGGTGGCACGGACAATCCTGGCTTTTCCCAGGGCTGTTGAATCTCTGCCGAGGACGGAGCCGTTCCTGTGGCTTTGCCCGTGAGGGCAGCGCTGGTGTCTGCACGCCGCCACATCGTTTGGGGGAAACGTTATTCTGAAGATGGGCCGTCCCAGCTGACGGGGTGGGAAGCATCCTTCCTGCCAAACCCCAGTGACCTCTTAATTGCACTTCTCATGCTCCTTAAAAGAGTGTTAATTTGATGGAGCCTGTTGCAGGTTGCTAAACACTCGTCTCCCGTGGCTGTGCCCTTTCCCAGGAGCCTTCTGTGTTTGCGTTGCGAGGCGTGAGGCTGTCACCAAAGGCTGTGTCCCTTCAGACCGGTGTCGGCGGGGTGGGGTGTTTCAGCCGTGCTGCAGACCCGCAGGACTCGTGGGCCGCTCAGCAGGAGCGGCAGAGCCCTTTGCATCTTGATGGTCTAGGTTTGCTCCCTCTTGCTGGGGCGGTTGTGGAGGTTGGAGCCTTGCCGGTGTCTCTCCCGTGGCTGGGGTCTGTGCCCCGCAAACACCCGTTGCGGGTTGGCATCGTCATCGCAAGGGCTTTGAGCGTCGCTGGCGTGTGATGGCATCAGTCTGCAGAAGCCTGAAACAAACTAAAAGACGTGATTTTTTTTCCCATGGTGCGTCATTAAGTGATGGCAGCGAGTTTAATAGGCTGCTTTGGATGCCAGAAGCTTAGCTGCCTTCGGAGATGTGTGGAAGAAAAGCCCGTCGAGGACTATTGAGCAAAGATGCAGATGAAACCACCTGGCTGAGGACGTTGGTGGCTGCAGGGCACCGGGAGCTGGGGGGAAGATGGGCTGAGAGTCACCCGCTGGGTCTGTCCTGGGGGGCTGCGCAGGACAACGGGGCGGCCTTTACCTGTCTCACACGCCGCTTTCTCAGCTGCCCTTCTAGGAAACGTGTTTCCCAATTCGAGCGGGTGTCAAAAGCAGCCGAGCGACTGCAGGAGGAACAAGCCGGGGCAGAGACGGGAGTGTTGTAAGCAAGAGGCAATTAAAGACCTAACTGTATTTCTTCACCGAGGCTTTTGAACAACTGCGTTAGCTTAATTCCCTGGACTTCCCATGCATAAACAGGAGCAGAGGTTACGCTTCCCTCCGCTGAGCGCTTGTCTGAGCAGCCTCGTAACGTTCGGGTGTCGCAATGGGAGCGTGGGGTTGATATCGCCGGGCTGAGGCAAAGCGCGGATAAAGAGCGCGGGGCCCTGGCGTGGCTGCAACCGGGGAATAAAGTATTGACCCCTCTGATGATCTTGGAAGTCTTGCAGCTCTTTATGGCTTGTGCTTGTTGCATTAAGGACGGGTAACTGAGGCCTTTCCCTTCGTGTGCTTTGTTGCAGACAAGGATGCAGAGCTTGCAGCCGGACCCCAAAGCCCAGTACAGGAGCGTGTACGAAGCTCTGAAGAAGATTGTCCTTACAGAGGGTTTCTGGAGGCCTTTACGTGGGATTAATGTCACCATGCTGGGGGCTGGCCCTGCCCACGCAATGTACTTTGCCTGCTATGAAAAAATGAAAAAGTCCCTAAGCGATACTTTCCAGCATGGAGGAAACAGCCACTTGGCCAATGGTATTTTTGGGTTTTTGCACACAAAAAAAAAGCTTGCAGTTAACAGCTTTGTCCCTTGCTTGCTTCACGCGCTTAGCCTGGCATCCTTCACCGTGCTCTGCTCCTGGAAGATCTGCTGTAGGCAGCCTGCGTTCAGACCGACCCTGTAAATACCCATCCGGGAGGATGCAAGGTGCCGACGTAACCCCAGGCTTGTGGGTCTCGGCACCCGCTTTGGGAGTGCCGGGGGGG